TCTGATTTCTTATTTAAGTCTCTTAATTGTCAGGGAAGGGAAGAGAATAAAAACAACAACAAACCTTACCCTTTTCACTTTCCTTCGCTGCTTCCGACTCTTCTTTGGGAGTGATGTTATTTTTTTGTAAGTTTAAATTCCAGGGTACCTTAGTTGTTGCTTTTACAATTTAACCTGCTCCGCCAAAACTTTCACTTCTTATCTTCCTCCTGCACATTCTTTTCTGGTCGAGTTCTTCTTTATGGTGGCCATTTCTGACCACTGCTGCAATCGCCTTCGGGAAAGGAAGTAATGGCCAGCTGAGGAGGAGAGATGCAGCTCTCCTCAACCCTGCTGGCAGTCTCCCCCCTCTTCCCCACCTCTACGGGGTGGCTTAGCCCCGAAACCAGCCAGCTCGGGGCGCTCCAGCGGTGAGCCCAGACCGAAACCGTGCACGATCGTGGATTTCTGTCTGTCACCGAAGAGACTTCAAACCGGAAGCCAACTGTCTGGAATTTCTGATTTTCCTGGCACTTGACATTAATTTGAACTACTTACCTTGACTAAAATTTTCATGGACTCTGGAACACCCAAGACCAGATCCCAGAGCTGCAGCAATAGCAGATGAAAGAGAACTGTCCTCTACCAGCTGTTGCCAAGATGGCATTGAAGACAAAATCAGAAATTTTGCAGCTAATTTTCAATAAATGATGCAACAAATGCAGATTCTTCCACAACCAGTTTCCTACCACAGAGATTCACTGGTGAGTCTGATAAGACAAGAGTTGGAAAGGGACCTTGTAGGTCATCTAGTCCAACCTTGCCACCCAAGCAGGAGACCCCGGCCTCCAGTCTCTTCTTGAAAGCTTCTTGTTGAAAGATAGATAAAAGATTTTCAACTTCGAGCAGAATCAGTCACAATAATAAGAGTAGATGGTGGCAGCAGTAGAGACAGTGTGAGGAGCTCCAGTGGGCATGGGCAGCACCAGGCGACAAGCCCTCTAATACCTGTACGTCCAGCCGGCGAGGTGCAAAGCCTAACACCCGAGACTTGCCAGCAAGCCAGAAAAGAGCTGATTCCTTGGTGGGCACTAAGTTCGGGAGCACTCTATTCAAAAGCACTCAACAATCTGCGACTCGACCCATCCTTGCTAGAAGGTAAGGCGTTGGGGCTCACCAGTACCGGGAGGCTCAATGATCATCCTTGCAGGGTGGTGAGACAGTGAGATTCATCCCATCCTTGCAGGGCGGTGAGCAGTGGGAGCTGTGAGTCGGTTTTCAGACGTTTGCAGCCAGGGTGTGAAACAGACTGCTTCCCCACTGCTGTCCCTCCTTCCCTCTTCCCTCTTCAACAAATTGCAAATCCAGACTTTCTCTTTAAAAGGACAGTAACTTTGGACTTTCAATAAGTAGGGAAGTATTGTTATAACTGAACTCCTGTGAAGATTGGAGGCAATTTTATTTCCTGTGATAGAAGCAGAAGTATATTGAAGCTAGGAGCAAATGCTCAATACGAATCTGAGTCTACATAGTAAAAATATAAACTGTTCAAATTGCCAGTGCAAGACTATCTTTCTTTCTCTTCCTCTTAAAAGCAACAAACTTTGAAAGTGTATTTAAATTAATTAGGAGGGGGCCAGAAATCCCATTCATCAAGGGAAAACAAAACAAAAAGTTTCCTGTTGCCTCCCAGTGAATTGTTCTGTTTATCTCTGCTGAAGAAGGGGCCAGAGATTCCCCCCTTCAACAACTTTTCATCTTTACTATCTCAAAAACTCAATCTTCAAAACAAGAAAGAGAGTGTAAACCCTTGCTGAATGATTGTTTTCAAACAGCCCAGGAAAAGAGACTTCCTGCCAGTTTACAAAGGGTTATAAACCTATTCTCAGATGTCAGCAACAGCTAAGCAAAACAAAGCAAAGCAATAACCGATTACTTACCAACTCTCAATACTACTTCATACTACTTACTTTCATTATCTCAAAAAAACCAATTTCTTTAAAATAATTAATTTTTATCAAATGATCAATTGATATATTTTTTTTGCTTAGTATGATTGAATGTCTAGTGTATATAGTGTAATTACTGAATATCTAATTAGTAAAATCAGTGATTTAGTGAATTTAATTGACCAGTGTGTTTAGTAATTACTGTAATAAATTAGGTTGTTTGTTGCTTAGCAAAATTTGATTAGAGTGATTTAAATAACCAATTGATTGATTGATTGATTTTTAGTAATAAGCAACCTTACTTTTGATTTGTTCTCTAACATATCAATTAACATTTATTAATTACCAACATTCATTAAGTAACTGTCTACCTATCACATTAACTAGCTATTGTAATTGATTACTGTACTATTGCCATTGACCATGCCAGCCAAAAACTCCATACCAAAACAAAAGAAAAATATCTCTACCATGCACATGTTTCAAATGTCTTGAAGCCATCAATGAAAGCAACATTTACATCAAATGCTGCCTATGCAATAATCTAGCCCACCCTGCCTGCTTAAATGCAAACAAAAACCTAGCTGATATGGTTAAAAATTCAGTTACATTCTTTTTTCTATGTTCATCATGTTCTCCTAAGCTAAACAAACTGAGTACCCTACCTGACAGAGTTGAAAGCATAGAATCACTCATTCACTCAATAAAAGAACGCTTAGCAACACGTTTTGAAACAACTATACAAGCAAGCCTAATTTCTCTTGAAAAAAAA